AATGACTGAATATCGGGTAGGACTTTATGAGGGTGTTAAGAAATTTCTTAAAGTTTAACAATCTATTGGGCATCCTATTTATGAGATAAGTAGATGTGAGAATTGCATCCCCCCAATAAATATTTGGGTACATTGTTAGAGAATATAAAATTAAACGAGTCACTTCGAGGAGATGTTTATTCTTTCTCTCAGCTATACCATTTTGTTGGAATGAGTCAAGACAAGAGCTTATATGAATGACATTATTTTTAGATAGATAAAGGCTGGGAGGAGAGTTGTAGTAGTCGTTTGCATTATTGGTTTTGACAATTTGAATGCTGCTCTAAAATTGAGTGAGGATCATATTGTGAAAGGTTTCAAATATATTGGCAGTTTCAAATTTTTCCTTCATGAGAAAAGTCCAAGTAGTTCTGGTATGATCATCAATGAAGGAGACCAACCACCTAGCCTCATTTATAGTTTTTTATTTTTGAGGGCCCCCAGATATCACTATGAAACATAGAAAAGGGATGTGTTGATTTATATTTCAGGCTTGGATACACTTGTCGGCTTTGTTTTGCAAGTTGGCAAGTTTTGCACTGATAAAAATTAGGTTTTTTATTGATAAATAAATTGTGATACAAATTTTCAATATTATAAAAGTTAGAAAGCCCTGGTAAAAAATGCATAATATAAATTGATTATCATGGGAAACATGCTCATATACAAGACTTGACTCAAAGGATTGTGAATGACAGAGTAGTCCTTCTGAAGTGGGAGTATTAGTGAGTAGATAAAGCGGTCTTTGAGTTGAATATTCAATCTTCCATGCCTGATATTTTGGATCAATAATTTCTGATGCAAGATTTTCCTCAGTGAGATGATCATCTTTTCCTTTGCCATAGATGTTCATGAAGACTGATTGAGACCACTGGAGAAAATTGTTGTCATGCAGCTTGTGATTGGTGATGCATGAAGGCATTTTATATGATGTAGAGCCCAACATCCTAGTTCAGATTCAAAAGATTCAAAAGTAACTTCTGAAGAGGAAGAAACAGCTTTTATATCGTATTTATTCATCATGATGAGATGTCCATAGGGGCTTTGTCGAGATTTTCCACTAGAGCTAAATTATCTATCGCTGACACATAAATTCAACTAGAGAGAAGTTATTTATTGTCGATAAAGAATTTCCGCTCGAGCGAGTAATTGTTTGTCGTAGACAATAAATTTTCACAAGAGAAAGAAACTGTCTGTCCTCAACACTGGATAATATTGTAGATTTGGGATTCCCACTAGAAAGAGAAGATTATTGTTGATCTAAGAAAGTGGAAGTCACAAATGTACTAGATCACCCCAACTTTAATTAGAATTGCAAAGGAGACTATACAAAAGGGAGTTAATTGCCTGAGGAGTTGCACTCTGCAAGAAAGTATCGATTGGGAGTGTAAAAAAGACAATCTGCAAACAAAACTACCGAAGGAAACGAGTAGGCATACAAAAAGCAACAGTTCGAATGAGCGCACAATCTAGAAGAAGGCGACGGAACTAGCAAACGATCCACCCGAAGGAGACGTAACAAGTGAATGATTCGTGCTAAGGAGACAAAACAAGCATACGATCTGCACGAGGAGACAATCGCCTGCAAGGAAGGAAACAAGTGGATGATACGTGCCTGCAGGGAAGGAGAAGATCCGACGAAGGGCTTACAGGGACTAGCGGTTGTAGGGAGATGCTCCGACAGAGAAAGAAGAGCTAGGTTTCTTTCCAATCTCTAATACCATATAGGTTTTAGGAGAATAAAACTCTATAATTTCTCGTTAAGTAAATAACTAATATATATATTGCGCAAACTAACCCTCTCACAATTAAAAGGAAATTCAAATCATCATGGTAAAAATGAAAGAAATAAAACACAATATACTATATATATAATAAAGGGAGAAAAATTTCTCCCCTCAAATATAACAACGTACAGAATGATTCCTAAACCATATGCATATTTACAATTTATGACTAAGCTTATCAACAACAAAGGAGTTGGCTTAACCTAACCCAAGCCCAACTCAATTCTTTTATTAAAAAGATCAATTTTAAGAACCAAATACCAGCTTGATCTGATTACCTGCATTGATTTGAAATTAAGGTCAGGCTCAACCTGATCTGCTTACAATCTAACCAAATTTGTAGCATATATTAGATACATAAATTATACTAAATACAACAACAACAACAAACCTTTATCCTACTAAGTGGGGTCATCTACATGAATGTTTTTTCTCCATTTTGTCCTATTAGGTGTCATATTTTCATTTAATTCTAATAAATTAAGATCATTTTTTATGCAAGAAGCCCAAGTCTTTTTAGGCTTTTCTCTGCCTTTTTTAATATAAGTCAAATCTAAAACATCTACTGTCTGAACGGGATCATCAAATGATCTACGTTTAATATGACCAAAACATTTAAGACGGCTCTCTCTAATCCTGTCAGCCACTAGAGCTACACCAAACCTTCCACGTAGACGTTTGTTTTGCATTTTGTCTTTAAGTGTCAAGCCGTTCATCCACCTAATCATTCTCATTTCAGCAACATTTAACTTAGTTTTATGCTTCTCTTTCAAAGGTCAACATTCTATGCCCTAAAGCATTGCAGATCTCAACTTCATCTTATAAAATTTTTCTTTAAGTCTAAACGGTACTTTTCTATCACACAATAGGATCGATGTCCTCCACTTCAACCATCCAACTTGAATTCTACTAATAGCATCCCCATCTATATCAACGACACTTTGAATGATATACCCGAGATATCTAAAATGTTCACACCTAATGATTTGATCACACATAGTTACAACTCTAGCACTAAATCTACTACTACTAAAATTACATTTAATGTATTCAGTTTTAGATCTACTCAAACGAAATTCCTTAGACTCTAATGTAGGCCTCCATAATCTATTTTTTTCCTGAACTCTCTCTAGTCTTATCCACAAGAGAGACATCATCAACGAAAAGCATACACTAAGGTACATGCTCCTGTAAATGTCTAGTAAGAGCATCCATAACTAAAGATCCATAACTAAAGAAAAAAGAAAGAAAAAAGATACGGGCTTAAAGTCGATCCCTGTTGTAATCCAACTAAAATAAGAAAATACTTGGTCAATCCTACTGTTCGAGCACAAGTAACAACTCTAGTAAACCTATCTTTAATGACTTGAATATAAGTCACATCAAAACCTTTCTTTTCTAGAACTTCTCTTGGAATCTTATCATAAAGTTTTCTAAATCAACAAAAATCATATGTATATCCTCCTTACTCTCTTTGTACTTCTCTATCAAACCTCTCAATAAATGTACAACTTCCGTAGTAAACTTGCTCAACAAATATCCAAACTGATTATTAGAAATCTTTATATCATGTCTTAGCCTATGTTCAATTACTCTCTCCCATAATTTTAATGTATGACAAATTAACTCCATTCATCTGTAATTTGCACACTCTTGTGCATCCCCTTTGTTCTTAAAAATAATACCAAAATACTTTTTCTCCACTCATGTATATTTTTAGTTTTTTAAAAAATATTAAAGAGTTTAGTAAACCAAGAAACTCCCAGATCTCCTAAATATTTTCACACTTTAATTTGAATATCATCAGGTCCTACTGATTTTCCATCATTGGTTTTCTTCAAAGCCACAACTTTTTTTTTTACTAATGTGACGATAAAAATAAAATATATTATTATTATTAATGATATTAAGATTGCTAAGGTCGATCGTATTTTCAAAAATTTTATTGAAAAGTTTATCAAAATATCTCACCCATCTATGTTGAATATCTTCCTCTAAGAAAAACACATTTTGATTTTCATCTTTACATTTTACTTGAATTAAATATTTAGAATTAAATAGAATTAAATATTTAGAATTAAATATTTACTTTTCTCTTTGTTTGGCTAGTTTATACATATATTTTCACCTTATTTAATATCTAATTTATTCCTTAACATCACAAATTGTTCTCTTAGGCTCCCTGCGGATTATTTTATATTTTTTCCAATTCTCATAAGTTCTTACATTTAAACCAGTTTTTATAACAAAACCTCTTATATTTTATCTTTTCTTGCACATTATTATTCCACCACCAACTTTTTTATTTATAAACTTTTACTTTTTTATTTATACAACTTTTTTATTTATAAACTTTTTCTTTTGATTCTCAAAGTACATCTTTTATCACTTGTTTAATAATTTTGGTTACATTATCACACAACAGTTTTTTCATGAATATCTCAAATCTTAAAATCTTAGAAGTTTTAGATTCGACTTATGTTAAGAAAGGCAGAGGTAGACCTAGAAAAACTAGGGCATATTGCATAAAACATGATCTTAATTTATTAGAATTAAATGAAAATATGACACTCAATAGGATGCAATTGAGAAAAATGAATCATATAGTCGACCCCGCTTAGTGGGATAAAGGCTTGTTGTTGTTGTTGTACTCCAAAACTGTAGCAGCCATGAATATTTCTAAAATCAACTGCCACTTCACCAACATGTTCACTTAAATCTCCTCCAATAAAAATTTTTTCTTCAAGAGGTATCATTTGTATTAATTTTTCTATATCATTCCAAAATTTTTTTGTGAATCTATATCTAAACCTACATAAGGAGCATAAGCACTTATAACATTAAAAATTTCAATATCTCCAATTCTGTTAATTTTTACAATATTATCTTTCACACTCTTATATATAATTACACCTACATCAATTTTAGTGTAACTCCTACTTAAATATCAAATTTTAAAACCTAAGATATCAATCGTTTTAACCTTTTCTCCAACCTATTTAGTTTCTTGAATGCATAAGTTATTTATCTTTTTATGAACTATAATATCAAATTCTATTAATTTACTTGTGAGAGTACCTATATTCCAATATGTTATTCTAATATGAGTTTATTGAATGCATAAATTATATTAAATATTTCATAATTCGATATTTATGCTAAGTTTTCAATTACCAGCTTGCGGTGTTGATAAGCTTCCAATCATTGGTATATTAAGAGCCATTGATATTGCCTTTCTGGTAGCAAGTTGTTTATTTTGCATCACCCAGCTGTTCATTTTGTCATCACTAGCGCAGTTCGAGGAAGCCAATCTCTTCTTGATGATATTCCACCTCTGGGGAAAAAATAAGATCGCGGTATGAATTAAAGAGCAACAAGAATTGCTTAAAATTAAGTCGCCTTCAAATAAAGGAAAATTTACAAACATACCACTCAATTCCACCACTCAATTCCTATGTATTTACACATCTAACACCTATACTTCAATTTTTACACACATACCACCTTATCTATGCATGGAAAGGTGTATTTTAGTTTTTCAAAGTTAAAATGATGGTATTTTTTATGTGATATGAAAGATTTGGGGGGTATAAATGTAATAATTAAAGTTTAGGCGTTAGATATGTGAATACATAAGAATTGAGTGGCATGCATGCCCCTAAATTAAAATTTGGAGTCCATAAAATAATTAGTATGAGAACAAATGAGATTACAGAACACAAACCTGAGATAACTGAGAAGGATTCCTGTCATATTTAAAATCTTCCTTTAAAATATTCAACCAGTTTCCTTCACCATGTTTTTTAACAGCAGCTATTAGATCATTTTCCTCTTCAGCGGTCCAGGGATGTCTCTTCCTTTTGCGTGGTCGCAAAGTCTCACTATAATCTGGAGTCAATGCTTGCTCCTTAGAATGGGATGCTTTGCTGATATGAACATCACTCAAATGTGCTTTAGGAGTCATACCAGAAGCCATTATAACCTATACAATTGATACCAAAAGATATATATAACTTTTTATAAAGCTCTAATCAAAGAAAAGGGGAACAATTATAACCTATACAATTGATACCAAAAGATATATACAACTTTTTATAAAGCTCTAATCCACAAAGAAAAGGGGAACGAGCAAACTGGATGTAGCACCCATTACGATCAATATGATAGCTCACCGCTCTCAGAAACAAGTCAAACTTAATTATATCATGGCCCTCATTTTTGAAAGGCTAAAATTTTGATATTATATACTAGGAAGATTTACATACATACCGCTCAATTCTTATGTATTTACATATCTAACACCTAAACTTCAATTTTTACATGAACAATATCATAAATATGCATGAAAAGTATTAGATGTGTATATACATAGGAATTGTGTGGACTGTATGTAAGTGCCCCTAAGCTGAATGGATCTAGCGCACATCACGATCAAGAGGATAATAGGTCTTTGCTCTCAAAAAAAGTCAAATTCAATTATATCATGGCCCTCAATTTTGAAAGGGGTAAAATTTTGATTATATATTCCATGCTTTCTGGTTAGTTCAATAGAGCTGTGGTTTACTTTACCTCAAAACATTCGATCGCCTGTAAGAGAGCCTCAGCACTAACAGGAGGAACGGCTTCCAGCTCAAATTCCAAATCACTATCATCCTCCTGAAATCATATCCAGATTTAGTTTTCTTACTTCCACAATCAGAACAATACCAAGAGAGGACTTCAAAATCTGACTTAAAATCACATTCAAATTAAAACCAAAATGCTAAAAAATACAGCTAGAAAAGTTGATTATCATAGATAATGTAGCACTAGACATAAATATCAACTGGATATGTCATTAAAAGGTATAAATGGTTGTTGGAGTGTGGGTAAAAAGCTAAAACAAAAGGTTGACGAGTTTATGATTTTTGGGTAGATTTCTTTCTTATACATTATAGAAGTGCAAGACTTGATTTTTTTTTTCAAAAAGAGTGATAAACTCCAGATTGAAAGTTTAGTATGATAGCTAACTATTGGATTTATATTATTTGTGTTAGAATAGAAAGCGTAAATCTTATTGATGTAAAGAGCGGTATAAATACCTACTATAGGGTCTCTATTGAAAAAGAAATAAACAGAAATGAGATACAGAAGAAAATAAAATGAATAATAATGAATCCACTCTAATAACTCATAATAAACAATAATTAATAATGGCTAAAACTAAGCATTACTAAATATTCTAATACTACTCCTCAAGTTGAAGCATAAATGTCAGCATGTTCAACTTGGATTTGAAATTGTCAAACAATTACCGATAATGGTTCTTTATGAGAATATTTGTCAATCGACAACTAGATGCACAAACGGGACACCAATCTCCCCGGACTCGAGGTTTTCCCTAAGGAAGTGTCGGATAATCTCAACATGCTTGGTGCGATCATGTTGGACCAGGTTGTGAGCAATGCTAATGGTTGTCTTGTTATCACAAAACAATTGTAGGAAAGCGGAGTGTCATACATGGTTCGTGGAGTATGATGCATAATCAGAGGGCTTCATAAATTCCCAGGGACATGGACCAAAATTCGGTTCATTACTACTCCGAGCAACTACAGACTGCTTATTGCTTTTCTACATGACCAGGTTTCCCCAGACAAATGAGCAATACCTCGATGTAGATCGCCAATAATGGATGGACTCAACCCAATTTGCGTCTATGTAAACTGTAATAGAACAAGATATAAAGGACAAAAAAATAAACCTGAGTCCAATATGCCTTTAAAATAGTTGAAAATCCGGTGGACAGCTTGGAGATGGTGTTCATAGGAATCATGCATGAATTGACTTACTATCCCAACTGCAAGGCAAATGTTGGGGCGTGTATGGGCAAAATAGATGAGTTTCCCCACAAGGCACCGGCAGTGAGTCATGTTTACAAGAACTACATTGGAAACATCAAGAAGTTTTTCATTAGGATACATCAGAACAATCACTCGTTTGCATAGAGAAGATTGTTCTCTGTCAAAATGTCAATTATATATTTCCGTTGAGACAGACAAATATCCTGAGATAACCGAGCAACTCCATGCCTAAGAAGTAAATGAGAGATTCCAAGTCCATTTCAAAAGAAGCAGTAAGAATGTCTTTTAGAGATTACAATGCTGGTAGATCATGAGAACAATGTCGTCAACATAGAAAATAATGATAGCTACCTGGTCGTTGGAGAAATGTCGGAAGAAGAGAGAGTGGTCCAATTGAACCTAAATGAATCTATGAACTACCACGACCTTTGTGAACTTCCCGAGCCATGCCAGTGGTGATTGCTTCAATCCATAGAGAGATTTTTTCCCCCATACATATTTGCCCTTGAGAGTCAGTGGAGTCAAAGCCTGTAGGAAGAGCCATCTATACCTCCTCTGTAAGCTTGACATCAAGCTAGGACCCAGATGATGTTTAATTAAGCAACTGAAGCAATGTCTTCTCATAGTCAACTTCGTAGGTACGAGCATCCTTTGGCGATCAGTTGTGCATTGTTGCGTTCAAAGGATCCATTAGATTTAAACTTAATGCTAAAAATCCATCAGCATCCCACTGCTTTCTTTCCTCGAAGAAGATCATAAGTGAAAGTGTGATGTGTGTGAGACTAACCATGGCCACACCTCTCAGGGTTAACCCTAAGGTCAAACATTCCTATGGGGACTCTACTTGTGTTCCCCCATATTGGCTCCAACTACTAAGTGCTAGAGGTTAGAACCAACAAGTTGAACTTCAAGTTGAGCAAAGAAAAGGTTAGAGTTTCTAATGGATAAGGTTTCTTTTCTAGTCCTCTAGAAATAGTCAACATGAAAGTCCTATGGCTAAACCCTAGGCTATTAAAGAGGAAACTAGACCTTAACCAAATGATATGTCAACAAATGGACCCCTAATAGGAGTGGTGTACAAGGCTGACACACCGCTCGTATTAGCTTTTACTGAAGAGCTCAACAAAACCAACAAGATTGTTTGAGTCAACACACTCAGAACAAAAAAGAATGAAGAGTAGAAAATTTCCACTAGGGAGTAAATAGGCTGGGGGAAAGGAAGGGGATTTTTGAAACAACCATCAGAAAAACTAATGGCCGCAACAAAGATTTGATATCAATTCGATGATTAAAGACTTTAATTCTGATTTTAATTTTAACAATTTCGAAGGATAAAATCATGTGTGAGTAGACCGAATCGAGATGGAGAGTACAAAGGCTCACATCCAACATGAAGATGACAATAGTGCAAATAATGAAAACAATTAAGGACATTACGCTGGGAAGAAAATATTATACCAGGTCAGGCAACCATAAGGGACATTATGTCTGAATTGGACCTAGTCGAAGAATGGCAACCGCTCGAGACATTATGCCAAATTTTATGGTGGGAATCAAAATTCAAGAACTAACTAAAAATTTTATGTGTGTACAAAAATTTCTCGGATGAGATAAGGAAAATAAGTAGAATTTAAAGGAATCAGACGACCTTGCACTGACCCTCAAATTTTCTTTGAATGATCGTGATAGGAAGAGCTCCTAAAGCAATGTGGTATCAGATGTAACATCCTCAACCTCTAAAATATCATGACTGTGGAACATTTTGTAGGAAATGAGGTGGAAAATATGTGAAATTTAAAAGAATCAGACGACCTGACGCCGACCCTCAAGTTGCATTTGAAAGATTGCGATAGGAAGGGCTCCTAAAGCAATGCGGTATCGGATGCTGTGATCCTCGACCTCCAAAATATAATGTGAACCATTGCGATAGAGGAATGTCTAAAAGCAATGCGGTATCGGATGTTGCGATCCTCAACCTCTAAAAAATAGTGTGAATCATTGTGATAGAGGAATATCTAAAGCAATGCAATATCGGATGTTGTGATCCTCAATCTCTAAAATATAGTGTGAATCATTGCGATAGAGGAATATCTAAAGCAATGCGGTATCGGATGTTGTGATCCTCAGCCTCTAAAATATAATGTGAATCATTGCGATAGGAAAGACGCCTCAAGCAATGCGGTGTCGGATGCTGTGAACCTCGACCTTTAAAATATAGTGTGAACTATTGCGATAGAGGAATATCTAAAGCAATGCGGTATCGTATGTTGTGATGTTCAACCTCTTAAATATAGTGTGAACCATTGCAAAACAATGTAGAATTATGCAGAATCAGATGTCGAAATTTTCATCCTCTATAATATAGTGTGAATCATGGCGATAGGCATGACTCCTAAAATAATGTGGTGTCGGATGTTGCAATCCTCGACCTCTAAAATGTAGTGTGAATCATTGCGATAGAAATGACTCCTAAAGCAATGCGTTATCAGATGTTGTGATCCTCAACCTCTAAAATATAGTGTGAATCATTGCAAAAGAGGAATATCTAAAGTAATATGAAATCGGATGTTGTGATCCTCAACCTCTAAAATATAGTGTGAATCATTGTGATAGAAAGAACTCCTAAAATAGTGCAGTATCGGATGATGTGATCCTCAACCTCTAAAATATAGTGTGAACCATTGCGATAGGAGAGGCTCCTAAAGCAATGCGGTGTCGGATGATGTGATCCTTGAACTCTAAAATAAAGTGTGAATCATTGTAATAGAGGAATATCTAAAGCAATGTGGTATCAGATGTTGTGATCCTCAACCTCTAAAATGTAGTGTGAATCATTGCGATAAGGACTCCTAAAGCAATGTGAAATCGGATGATGTGATCCTCAACCTCGAAAATATAGTGTGAACCATTGCGATAGAGGAATATCTAAAGCACTGCAGTATCGAATGTTGTGATCCTCAACCTCTAAAATATAGTGTGAGTCATTGCAATAGAGGAATATCTAAAACAATGTGATATCAGATGATGTGATCCTCAACCTCTAAAATATAGTGTGAATCATTGCGATATGATGGACTCCTAAAGTTAAGCGGTGTCGGATGTTGTGATCCTCAACCTCTAAAATATATTGTGAACCATTGTGATAGGAAGAGCTCCTAAAGCAATGCGGTATCGAATGTCGTGATCTTCAACCTCAAAAATATGATACGAACCATTGCAATAGTATGGGCTCCTAAAGCAGTGCGGGAGGAGATGCGGTCCCATATCCAATAGTATGGGCTCCTAAATAAATCGCCATCCCTCATATAAACAGAGCAAAAGACAATGAAGAGTGTGTTTCTACGTAGATGAAACCAGCTACCCTTTTCCACACGAGAAAGATGACCCAAAGTCCCTGTGGAAGGAAACTTCGAGCCAAGAGAAGTGACGTTGGTGATAGGTCGAGAAAACTCAACCTGACCAGGTCGAAACTGAAGTTCGCAATTTTGATTTCGATTTTGATCTAGTTCGATGTGATCTATTTTGTGAGTTTTTATTGATTTGAAAATTTTATTTTTGGACCCAGTTCCCAACACACGTGACATAGGTGCTTCTAAGAACAAGATCTTTGTCTTTAAAACATCGTGACGCGTGGTGCTTCTTAAGATATTATCGACTGATCGGAAGCATGAAAAAAAAATAACACATCCTTTAAGATATTATGGGAATTGTATTCTTTCAAGTACACATAAAGATGTGTTATTCCAAAAGATATTGCGGTTCGAGAGGTTTTGACTCTTTAGCTCTGCTGTCGTCGTTAGCTTATCACTGATTTCG